CGCGTGCACTGACCGCTCCCTCCTCTACATCATGAGTAGCCACGCCCCTTACTGCTGATTGGCTACAAGTTTGTTTTGCTATTCGGCCCGAATCAGTTTTCTAAAGCGTTTTTGAAAAATCACTTACCCCACCTTTAAATGACTCGCATTTGCCTGTCAGAGCGCTAGTTAACTCTGGTTCGTTAGCCTCGCGTCTCTGACTGTCTGTGGGTCTGGGCAGGGTTTTCAGGTGCTGGTGGAGACGAAAATATTTTTAATGGGGGAATTTTTTTTACCCTTTTTTTTTTTTTTTTTTTTAGAAAACATTAATTTTGCTTTATTGGCCTGGTGACAGTTTCATATTTTTTTTTCAATAAAAATATTTCTTAACTGTAAGTATTTTTATTCAACAAAAAGTATTTTTATAAAGCATTCAATAATTTCTATAAACCAATAGATTGATTTATTTCTATAAAACATTAAGTTTGCATTTCTTGCCCTCGTGACATTTTTAGTGTCAGTATTTATTAAACAAACACAAAATATTTTTTATAAAGCATAAAATAATTTCTATAAAACATTAATTTGTATTGTTTTTATGAAACATTAAATTGGCTTTACTTGCCCTGGCAAACATTTTAAGTTGTCAGTATTTTTTATTAAACAAAAACCAAAGTAGTTTTTATACAGCATTTAATAATTTATATAAAACATTAAATAATATAAAATTTTTATAAAACGTTCATTTTGCCTTACTTGCCCTGGTGATATTTTCAATGTAGTTTTTTTTTTTTTAGCAAAATATTCTTAAGTGTCAGCATTTTTATTAAACAGTTACCATTATTATTATTTTTTATTAAACATTTACTTTTAACTGTCTGTAAGTATGCTTTACAAGACAGAACAAGTAAGGGATAATCAACGGCTAGCCGTGCATTAAAGGATTTTAAATGCACGACGTGGAGGCAAAGAACCACCCGACGCGAAGTGCATTTAAAATCCTTTAATGCACGGCTAGCCGTTGATTATCC